GCAATTTCCCTTTTTCTTCTGACTCAGGTTTCAGTCTCATAGCCAGTTTCCAGTCTTTCAATAACTATTTGGCTTCAGAAATGGTGCCAAAATTGTTAGAAAGAAAATGTAAATTGATTGCTTGTCCTTTAGCTTACAAAAAAAAACCAAAAATTAAAAAAAAACAAAAATAGAAACAAAAAGAATTTAGGTTGAGTGATTCCCAATCTTCTCATCTTTGTCAGTGGCTCTAAATGAACCAGGACTTCAAAATTATTTTCAGTTTTGCTAGCAAACTATTCATTTGAAACTTTTTCTCTAGGCAACTCCAAGAATATAAACAGTTTAATGTTCTACCCGATTTTAAAACTTTACTTCACATGTCCTTCGATTCTTCCCCAGGATATATTTACTTAGCATTTTACATTTTTTTCATGCTCTCTTATCAATGCCTTGCTATTCTTGAGTACAAAACATAGGAATACCTATGCCAGTTTCACTATGCAGCATGCTTTCTTTCTGGGTGGGCACATCTTTTTGTATTTCATCAGTATTCAGTAACTCATCTGTACTGGACTTCTATTGAAATCCATGTTCAAAGAAAATGAAAGGTCTATATTTTGGAGCTTACAAATCTCAGAGACATATTCCCATTTTGTGTTTCAGAAGAAATTAACTTACATAGAGAGGCTTTTCACACCAGGTAACTGAATACCCTAATAAGAATCATTACTATTTCTATTGATATGGGTGTGGGAATTTCACTAGATTAGGGACAAATCCATCTATTCCCAAAGTTTTGCCATCACTGCAACATTTTCAAAAACCTCTGACCAGTCAAATTTAACTTGTCATGTTTTCCCAGACTAATATAGAACTTCAGTTAAGCTACATCACAAGTGATTGTGTACAGCAGTTCCCATCTGTTCACTTAAAAAGAGACATGACAGGTGACTCCAAGCCCATTTTCTGGGAGCATATCTTCCAAACTCAATCATATATTCTCTTATATCTTCCTTGAAGCTATTTAAATAAGATCCTTCAGGAGAAACTAAGCTTTCAACTTTTTGAAGAGCTGAAAATTTTAGAGCACAAAATAAATATTTTAAAACTTCCCAACTGTCAGTAATAATAAGCAAATTTTCTAGGGAACCATGAATAAGATGTGATATTTAGATTTAGAATTGCTTTGACAAAACATAGTTAAAAGGTCAATACATAGGGATTAAGGGAGACTCCTGAATGATACAGCTTATCTTTCCATGGCATTTGCCAAAGAGGATATTCAAAAGGACCTGGAGAGGCCATAGGAGAAGAAGAGAAAATGCAGCTAACAACTGCACAACTTTTGAGAGCACAACTTTTATTTAGCTGACTCTTACAGGACTCTGGGTAGCCACAGTAATAAGCAGATGACTCTCTTGGGGTTTGTAAAGAACCTCAGTGGCAGAAAAGTGTTATGAAAAAAGTGCATGACCAGAATTACAATGCTTTAGGTCAGTTTCAGTGCAGAATAATTTTTATTCACATAGTTCATTTGGTTGCCAAGGTCAGCGCCTTCCTCTGTAGTTCACAAGAATGTAGAGGAATTCTATAGGGAAAACTCCCAACAGAAGCCATTTTTGCTTTTCTAAGAACAGGAATAAAAAGAAATACTTTTCATCTTGAAACTTGAAGATTAAAATGGATCAACTAAAGAATTAATTAGAAATAAAAAAAATAACAAGAAATATGCTTAGCTTGAAGGAATAATTCACATTAATCAAAGATATAGAGCTGGAAGGTTAATGGTTATCTACTCTAATCCCCAAATTTTCCAGATGAGTCAACTGAGTGGTGGTACCTGGATTAAAATTGAAGTCTTGTGACTCCAGGTTTGATGTACTTTCCACCACATCATGTTACCTGGTATACCCTGAAGGAGATGGATAGGAACAGTGTTCATTTCTTTCTTCCTAAGGGGTTAGGAGGAGGATATTAAACAAGAACTTGGGATTTAAAGGAAGGGCCAGTGGCTATTGGAGAATCTTCCCGGACTAATAAATTTGCTCTAATCCAACTACTAAAATCATACAACAAGCATATCCAAATAGTAGGATCTTGACGTCAGTGATGGCAATTTTTTTTTAAGCTTTCAAGAGTAAGCAATCAGAAGGAAAGGGAAAATGAAGCCAGTTCAATGAGTTAAGTTTGTGGAAGCAGGGAAAAATAACTTGAGTAAGCAGTGAAGATTCATCACCAATGAAATTCAAATTTTATTGACATTTCTAAGAGAGCAGATTGTTATTCTATGAAGTAGGTCTTTCCCATACATGGTAGTCATGGTAAGTAGTCATATTTTCCCTTTTCATATGTTTTCATTTACTTTATAAATTTTCCCAGCTTCCTTCACCTATGCAGTGTCTTCAATATTATTTGTGTTATCAACCCTACTTATGAGCTATCAACTTCACTATCTTGCCCATGTGGCAAATTTCATTTTAACTTTTTTTATGTTGATAGATACAATTCAGTACATTAAGTACTCATTTGGGTATGGATGAGAATCCATTTGCCACTTCAAATCAGAAAATGAAAGAAAAGGGAAAGTGTGCAGATGGCAAAGCACTTGAGGTGTGGAAGGATATGTAAGTCAGAAAAAGAGACAAGTTGAAAAAGGGGAAAGTGCAATAAGGAAGAAGGCAGAATTAAAGGAGGATAAAAACAGTCACTAATAACTAATATTTGTTAAAGATGTCTATAGGTGCTATACCATACTCTTCTCTGACCACTCACTCTGCTCCCTCCCAACCCCTCCACTCTCTCTGCCTGTCAAAATTGTATCTATACTTCAAGTTCTTTATTTCATTAAAATAGCTCATAATGAAGCTCAGAAAGCATTATTAACATAACTGATGGCTTGATACCAATTTGGAAACAAGATTGTAATAGGATATTCTAGGGATGTCTCCTCAGATGTCCTCATTTTAAAGTTTTTGTTTCTTTCTTTGCTTCAATGGATGATTAGAATGGAGGCATGGATGATTTGTTCATGAAATTTCTAGGTAATACATAATTGGAAGTGATAGCTAAAACACCAAATTTAGAATTGGCGTCAAAAAAGGAAAGAGTAATGGCCCAAAGCTAGCCAGAAAAAAATTGTCAAGAATAATTAAAGTCATAATCTTGTGTTAAAAAAATGCAAAAATACATGATGAGGGAGAGGTGGCTCAAAAGCATTTAATATGAAAAAGATCTGGAAATTTTAGTAAACTACAATCTCAGCCTAAGTTGATTGTGACATCTCAGTCAAAGTAGCTAACGTGATCTTAGGCTTCATTAAAGGAAACTATAACATAATCATCTTAGAGTTCTTCCTACTTACCAACATAATCTTTGTTACCTGCCTCAGGTTTGTCGCCATTATTTCAACTATGATTTTAGCCAAGTCATATCTGAGAATGGATCAGTACCGTAACAGATAATGTACATATTGTACTCTAATGGCCCTCTTACTTTACAATTAAGAAGAATTAATTTGTATTCTCCACAGAGAAGGGAAAACAAGTTATGTTCTTTCTTCGTTAAGCTGAATCATTCAACTATATCCCCTTATGAGTAGCCCACTCAGCCCCTACACACATCCATCCATCTCAGTGTGTTTAGGCTAGACAGGACTTAGAACTTACTAGTGTCTTCAAATGTGTCAAGATTTGTCACATGGAAGATGGATTTTATTTATTCTGCCTGACCCCAAAAGGGAGAACTAGCAGCAATGGTTGCTAGACCAATCAGTACTCAATAAATGCATGTCAAATGAATGTTTACAAGAAATTGTTAATGTAATTTAAAAAAAAAAACCTTGCTAAAAATTAGAAATGTCCATTAATGTAATAGACTGCTGTATGATATTGTGAGATGATCATTACTTTAGGAATTTGAATAAAAGCTGTAGGGCTACTTGCTGGAGATATTATAGATGAGTTTCTTGCTTCCTTCAGGGATTGAAGATTGAAACTATATTATCATTCCAGGTAGCTTTCAGATCTATGATTCCCTCTTAGTCAGACACTACTCTAGATTTATAATTTATAATTTCTCATTGCCATGAGGTATTTGTTTTTTTTTAAATCACATTCTTTTCTTACTATGTTATCTTAGTTTTTGTCTATGTTTAGGAGTATATATTTTCTTTTCATCCTTCTTTGCCAAATGTCTCCCATTTTCAATTAATTAGAATATTTCAATTAATTAGAGTATTTAATTTGATCTTATTTTTTAATTCTATTTAAGTACTTTTTAAAATCCAAATCCTTAAAAGTCTTTTGTCTTCTTCTTGTTTCATTCTTTCCATTTTTCTTTTAGAAATCTTAGTCACTCTCAAAAATATTTATTTCATTTTTGGTCATGTTGTTAACTTTGACAGCTACATTTCATGCTGTCATTTGAAAGTTTCCATGTTCTGCTACCCTTAATTAATTAATTAACATAGATTCCTTTACCAAACTGAATACTTCACTTCTACACATGAATACACCAAGACAACCATGATTAACATGAATGAGATAGGCTGGGTTATTGATAAGATGTTAGATCCAAGACATAATGGAATAGGAGTACATATTATGAATGACAATATCATAAATATGCCAGTGATTACATATCAATATCTTACGAATGGCGCAGGAAATATTTGACTTCTTATAAGACCATTGAATTTCCAAAACAATCAAATTTCTTCATTATTATTCCAAATCATAGCAATAATTATAAGGAAAAGGCTAGAAGGAGATCATTTTAAGGGAATTGACACTGTCTATCCTCTTCTCTGGGAGAACAAGTCCATCTTAGTATTATCATCATCAACCATGCATATGCTGTTTTCTATTTTTAGGGGTATGTGCTATGTAAATATGAGCAGAATAATTTTGTGTTCCAGAAAGTGTAGGAATAAGTCCTATTCTTTAATTTGGGATTTCTCCCCTTTTGTTCATAGGTTAAAAGTTAAGGCAAGATCATTTTGGGGAGGAAAATGTAATTACCATCAAGATCGTTCTCTGGTGTCTCAGCTGTATACCAGTCTGAGGTGGGACCAGTACCATTGACTGTCATGGCTGCCACTTGGAAACTGTATTGACTTCCTTTTTCTAGTCCTGTGAAAGACATAAGAGCCAAAAAAAAAAAAAAAAGAACCATTGATTAAAAATGTTTCCATTAGAGTTGTCAAAGCAACAATAACATTAACTATAGCAGTAGAAATCTATTAAATCTATTTTCTGTTTGTTTACAAAGAATAATAAAGTAACAACAGCAGCCTTTCTCTATTTTACATTTTGTTATTCTCCACTTCCACAACAATACACTTAAAGAAATATCCCTAAATTTACTCAACACATACAATATTAACCATGAAGAAACAAGCACAACAGGAATTTCAAGGATCTGTTTCCTTCTAGTTCAGAAGAACTCTTACCTATAAGTCAAGGGAAAAAAAAACATTTTAAAAACATCTTAATTATCTAATGAATTTTAATTAGCTATGATTTTATTTAAAAGAAAAGAACAGGAGTAAAAAGGTATCTATGGAAAATATTCAACCTCTAGTCCTTCAAAACACAAATTTCAAGTAGTTAAGCAGAAACTACATTGTTCCAACTAAGATTATAAAGTTTTGGATAATACGATGTTAATCATTTGACTTTGAACCCAAATTCAACTTGGAACTGTACAAAGAAGAAAACAAAAAGGAAATGTATCCCAAGGAACCCAAGTTCAAAATCTTATAGCCTGCCAATTCCACATTTTATTTCCTTTCCTAAAGACATTATTTCTCTGGTCTACATCTAATTCTAATTTTATCAATTGCTGTTGTTCAGTCATTTAAGTCCTGTCTGATGCTTCATGACCCCATTTGGGGTTTTCTTAGCCAAGATACTGGAGTGGTTTGTCATTTCCTTTTCCGGCTCATTTAACATGTGAGGAAACTGAGGCAAACAGGGTTAAGTGACTTGCCCAGGGTCATACAGCTTCTAAATGTCTGAGACTAGATTTTAACTCAGGTCTTCCTGACTCTAGGCTCAATGCTTTATCTACTATACAACCAATTTGATAAATTACTATAATTCAAATTGTATTTTTAAATGAACACATGGCATCCACTAACCAATGTACATCTCAAACTAAATTGACAAAGTCCTTGCCCTCAAAGAGTTGAAAATAAAAGAAAAACAAAATTGAGATAAACACTAAGAAGCTGGACAACAGACTTGGAAATCACACATCTGTGGACCAAGATATGTTAAAGTATAAACTAAAATAAATGAAAATAAATGTATATAAAAGAGGATCATGCCTGAAAAGGTACAGAGTATCTATACTAGTCATTCCATAAGGCTTTGCTTCAGAGATCTGTGGTCTTTGGGAGAGGATACTCAAGTTAGGTCCCAGGGGCAGTACACAGAAATTGCAATATAAGAACATTCCCAGGATCATGGGGGATTTTCTAAAATGAGCTGAAGAAAAAGTAGAGAATGAAAAAGATTTACATCTTACATTGCTCATCCCTTTTGGGTAAGAGTAGATGTTACAAAAATCAATAGTCCTCAAATAGTGAAATATGAGATTTGGTTCTACTCCTGGGAACCTTACCCCTCAGTTACACCTGTGTCATGCAAATGCAGTTTATCCTGGCTAAGTATGACATTGGGAAGCTTTCTCGCTCAGATGTATTTCCCATCCAGAACAATCATGCTGCTAGCTTCAATCCTTCACAATTCTGGCACTGAGATTACCAGAAGATTTTAGGAACTTCAGGTTTCCTACAATACACCATTGAATTGTCCCTACTCTCACATCTGTGGAAAGGCAGGAGGGCAAAGTGAGAACTGAGAAAACTCCCTCTAAATTCTCTGGATCTCTCTCCTGTGGTGTTAAAAGGCAAAAGAAGGGGATAAGAACTAGACAAAGTATGGAAATAGAAATTTTGTTTCATCTGGAAACCTATGGGAGAATGAATGTCCCCTTTTGTATATGGAGGGATGAGGAAGGATTTTCCTTTTTATTTGTTTGGATATATTATGTAGTTAGATGTCTTTTGCATTAAACTTGTATTCATCTAGTTGGTCTAATAAAAGAAACTTCAATAGGGGTTTGATATTTAGGGTTTTTAGTGTATTCTGACAATCCATTATGTTGAACTATGTGGGTTGTTTTACAAAGGTCAAAATTGAGGGTGGTACTTAGACAACACACACCTTGGACTCGATGAATTTAGGAAGTTTGCATAGTAAGTTAAAGAAGTGAAAATAACTAACTCAGTTTTTACTCAGTTTTTATATAGACTTTATGAGGAAAGAGAGGTAAGTGGTTAAGTGTTTGAGAGGGGAGAAGAGATTCCTTACATACAAGTAGTAGAAGAGTGTGTCAATCCACCTACATTTGAAGATGAACATTGTCATGGAGAGAAATGGGAGCTATATAGCTACAGTGAATTTAGAGAGAGTTGAAGGATGACTTTAAATGGATGGGCATAATACACACATGCACATACAACTGAAGAAAGGTCAGTCTAGCAAATTAATGATTCTGTCAAATACAAGTACTGGCTTTTTATCTTGGTATTGAAAAGAAAGTCAGGTCCCAGAAATGGAAAATCACAACAATGGAACCCACAAGATATGAGCAGAAGGAGTGGTTATATGGAGACAGAGAACAGTGATAGATCATGAGGTAAGATACTAGAATAGAAGTCATTTTATGGAGGAGGAGCCCTATGGATTTGAGAGTTCTAGGATGTTTCACTCACTCTATATTAAATTAGCATGTAACATCTGATGGAAAATATCAGAATTGGAGAGTTGGAAAGGATCTCCGAGTCCAGCAAATCTAACCCATGCCTAAAAGGAATCCCCATTATAACAGGTCTAGGGGTCATATACCCTGCTTCTTGAAAACCTCAAAGATTAGGGAATTCACTCTCTTCTGAGGCAGTCCATTCCATTTTTGGATTATTCTATTCAATGTTCATATATTTATGAACTAAATTTCTGAACTAGGTTTCTGGTCCAGCTGCATGTCATAGTCTGGGAAATATATACTTTTTTTCCTAGCAAATAGATTTAAATTGATATTTTTCAAATTGCTGTGAATTTCAGAGTTGGTTTTGCGATGTTGTGTAGCTCAATGCAATTAATCCAATTGCTCCCGTGAATAGATCCATCTAGTGAGCTGCTTTATCAATATGAAATCCTTCTTTGCTTGAAACTAACACAGAGTACCTTCTATGATACTAGCTAATACCTTAGGTGAACATACATCTTTCTTAACACCTTGTTTGATGGATTTTAATCATTGGAAGATTAGTGAGAGAACCTATTTTTATAGTTACATGTGTCATAATGTTTTGTATGATTTTGATGTAGGTGTGGAAATACATTGTCTGCAGTATTCTTTCAAGGATGCCCTTTGTTCTATTAGGTTAAATACTTTTTTTAGATCAATAAAATATAAACACAGCAGGATCTAATATTTGTGGGTTTATGACTATAAATATGTGGTCTGCCATAGAAATTTACCCATGAAAGCTTGCCTGAATCCTTTTTATTTTTCATTAAGGATACCTTTATTGAGTTTATAGATCATTCTCATGCACATTTTATAGAGATGAAAAAGAACACACATGGGTCAGTCAATAGATCTTGATTCAAAACAAACAAACACAAATTTCAGCCAGAAAACACTGAATCTCCTTCAAGCCCAGGGACATGGCAGCTAAGGGTTGCACTAGTTTAGATATTAGAGGCAAGTTCATTTGCAAAATATTAGGGAAAAGGACAACTACTATAAGCAATGTTACTTTGTACAACAAACCAGTGCAAATCATTTGAAGAGTAAGTAGGCCTGCAGAAAACTATGATAGACCATCCTAAAACTATCATTAGTAAATGAAAGAGGAAGAAAGGTAATGGCCATGAAATGGAACAGCTCTACTGACTTTTATAGTAATCGGTTCTCATTTACAATAATGGTAGTGCCTTAGTACTCTAAGCACTCTGTGAACAAGTGTCATTAGCACTTAAGAAGAAGATGTCCCATCTGGGAGAGCTGCTCAGCCTAAGTACAATGAGCATAAATCTATAATGAGGGATAAGGGTGGGAGAAGGTGATTGGAGATGATTTTACAGACATCCAGAGATTGATTTTTAATATATCTCAAAGAAAGGTAGGTTTCAAGGATTAGGGAAAGGGGTTTGGGAATCATAGAGGGTGGTTTTTACAAACAAACAAAAAAGACTGATAAAAGCATCAGCAATTGCTTACCTGCAAACCAGTTTCCATATTTAATAAAATCTCTTTTTATAATGATCTTTTATAATGATGATGGCGATGATGGTGATAATGATACCTAATATTTATACAGTATGTTAAGATTTTCAAAGCACTTTATATGTATCTCATTTTAGCCTTACAAAAACTCTTGGAGGTGGGCATTATTATTACTTCCTCTATTTATACATGAGGAAACTTTATTTAAACATGAGGAGGCTGAAAGAGGTTAAGTGATTTGTTCAGGTTCATACAGCTAGTAAAAGTTTGAGGCTCGGTTTGAACTCGAGTGTTTCTGACTCTAGGTCAAGTTCTCTATCCCCTGTGCTGCCTAGCTGCCTCTGTGAAAATTTCAGTCATATTACCATATTAGTGATGTTATTTCTCTTCTTGGTACATTTTCAGTTTAAATGGTAGCAGGGTAGATATGAAGCTTAACATAATGGAATAGTTAATATAGAATTTTAGATTGTTGACATGTAGTCCATTAAAAAAGATATTGTGAAATGGAACTCTTAAATTTAGCTCACTGCAATTCTATACTACGTATTCTACTTTTACATAAGAGACATGATGACATCTTTTTTCTCAAGGGAATGAGGGTTTTATCCTTCACTGTTAGAGGATTTATATTTGCTGTACTTTATATTTGAATGAGAATTTCCAAAAAAAAATCAAAGACTCCCACTTATTATTTGTCTAGTTTCAGAAGCTCTAAGATATAATGGCTGTGATACATGAAGTGTGACCTCCCATTTGTCTCAATCTATTATTTTTTTGTGTTGCTTGTGGTGGGTCCTATCTCTCTTTATCATACTTATGGCTAAAA